ACCACCCAGCACAATTTGACCATTCCTGTTGCCTAGGCCTCTCAGGGATGGAGCCATTTCCTCGGAAGGTGGCAGAGATTCTTACTGCGGTGCTCTGTCTGCTGAGAGTCACTGGATCTGCTCTGGCGCAAGTTTCCTCTGTCTTCATCTGCATGGAAAAAACAGAGAGTATCGGGGTGAGGTGAGCAGCTCTGCACACTGCAATATATAGATGTAAATCCAGCCTCTGGAGGCTGCTGTTTCTAACACTAAATTTTCTGCAGGGCACATCAAGAATTCCACTTGGATAATTTTTCTTCTTATTTCATTTGGCTGTAAACTCTGTGAATGGGTAGGATATAAAGAAGGGTACCAGCACAGGGGATGAATCATGAAGTAACTTATTAGGTCTGCTCACCATTATGGCCTTGCAGGATTGCATGGACCAAACTGCTTATCAGCATAGTAGTGAGGAGAAGTAGGAGGAATTTCTTGAGAGGGGGGACTGAGAAGAAAACACTGTGTGTGGCATCAGACCAAGATTAAACCGTTGAGTGATGTTGCTGTATAATAGCATTGCTTCTCAATGAGTTTTGGTTGTAAACTCTGTAAATGGGTAGGATGTAAAGGAGGGTACCAGCACAGGGGATGAATCATCAAGCAGCTGCTTATTAGGTCTGCTCACCATTATGGCCTTGCAGGATCGCATGGACCAAACTGCTTATCAGCATAGTAGTGAGGAGAAGTAGGAGGAATTTCTTGAGAGGGGGGACTGAGAAGAAAACACTGTGTGTGGCATCAGACCAAGATTAAACCGTTGAGTGATGTTGCTGTATAATAGCATTGCTTCTCAATGAGGGTTGCAGAAATGCATATATTTGTTCAGTTTGTAAACCTTCAGAAACTTTCAGAAAGGAAAGGGAGTTCAAAATGCACTATTCTCAGGATAATAACGCTCTCCTTAGATTAAAAACACAGCACTTCATCTCATGAGACAGCTTTCCCTGAGGGCCTTAAATGGATACTCTTTCAGTGATGTGGCCAGTTTACTGTATCATTTACCTGTGTTCTAGCTTCAGAAAGCATCTTGGTTGATCACTTATGCAAATTTTCTTTCAACTTCCAGGATTTAAGATGGAATACAGATAGCAAGAGAAAATGCCATCCTTTGAATACTTGTAACTCCCAGAAAAACTACTAAACACAATCATGTCAATGACAAAGAATACTGAACTCCCAAATCTTATGCTTGGAGCATAAAGGAAATTGGAGGGATTTTTGATCAGGTTTCTGTTCTTTTTGAATGTGACTGCCCTTCCTTGACCCCTTGACATTATTTTCAATGACTCCTTCTCTCCACAGAATGTAGAGTGTTTCTGGTGTTTGAATTAACAGGTCATACCAATGTAAAAGAGAAAACAAACAAACAAATAAAAAACATACCAGAAAGGAGCTCTTCTGGAGGGAGATTAATGATTTCCTGTAATCCTCCTTTTAATATCTTCAGGTTTTCAATGTCCATAGCATGAAGAGGGGCTAGTAGGGTCAGCACGCAGGTGAAGAACAGGAGATGGAAGTGCTGACCAGCTGAACAGAGAAGACAGAGTGAACATGGAAATGCAAGCCTTTCCTTCCTGCAGAAGGAGAATGGGCTCACAGAGTTCCACAGAAATTAGAAACCACTTGTGGAGCAGACAGCATTAATTATGACTTTGCTTTATTGATCAGCAGAAATATTTTTAAAAAAAAAATCCCAAAATAATCATTCTGCAAAAGCGTACATCTCCAAGGAGAAACGTTTTAGCAAAGACTGCAGTCGCAACTTGCAGGTCGAAGTGTGCTTCCAGGAGCAGGATTGCTCTTTTTGACTGCAATAGAGGCAGAAGTAAGGGGCTCTAGTGATATAGGGCAGCATGTTGATTTGTAGGTCCTTTTCTTACCATAAGATAGACAGCAGATACTACAACAGTGATAAAGGAGGCATCAGAACCTAGAATCATGGGGCAGAAGGGAATCATAGAATCATTATGGTTGGAAAAGACCTCTGAGATCATTGAGTTCAAACGCAAGCCCCTCAATACCATGCCTGCTAAACCATGTCCCTGTGCACCTCATCTTACTTGTTTCTTGAACACTGCCAGGGATGGTGACTCCACCACTTCACTGGGCAGCCTGTTCCAATGCTTGACTACTCTTTCCATGTAGAGATCTTTCCTAATATCTAACCAGAACCTCCCTTGGGCAACTTGAGGCCGTTTCCTCTTGTCTTCTTTTCCGTAGTTATTCTGGAGAAGAGATCGACCCCTGCCTCACTACAACCTCGTTTTAGGTAGTTGTAGAGAGTGATAAGGTCTCCCCTGAGTCTCCTCCAGACTATAGAACCCTGGCTCCCTCAGCTACTCCTCACAGGTCTGCTCCAGCCCCTGCACCGCCTTCATTGCTCTCCTCTGGACTCGCTCCAGCACCTCCATGTCTTTCTTGTAGTGAGAGGCCCAAAACTGAACACAGTGTTTGAGGCGCAGCCTCACCAGGGCCGAGTACAGGGGGACGATCACTTCCCTGGTCCTGCTGGCTACGCTCTTTCTGTAACCAGCCGTTGGCCTTCTTGGCCACCTGGGCTCACTGCTGCCTCATGTTCAGCCGGCTGTCGACCACCACCCCCAGATCTTTTCCTGCCATGTCAGTCTGCCCCAAGCCTGTAGCGCTGCATGGGGTTGTTGTGACCGAAGTGCAGGACCCGGCACTTGGCCTTGTTGAACCTTGGTTGAACCAGTTGGTCTCAGCCTGTCGATCCAGCCTGCTCAGAACACTATAAAGAGTTTTAGGCAGACCTGCTCTTCCTCCCAGCTTGGTGTTGTCTGCAAATCTGCTGAGGGTTCACTCAATCCCCTCATCTAGATCATTAATAAAGATATTAAAGAGGACCAGCCCCAATACTGGCCTCTGAGAAACACTGCTTGGGAGTGGTTGCCAGATGGATTTAACTCCAATCACCAGCACTATATGGGCCTGATCATCCAGACAGTTTTTCACCCAGCAAAGAGTACTCCTGTCTAAGCCATGAGCTGCTGGCTTCTCCAGAGGAATTATCATGGCCAAAACAGTGCTGGTGCCACCTGAGAGTCAGTGACTTTATTTATTGTTGTCCCAGAACTGCATCCTCTCAACACTGCCTGGATTCACCAAGGGGAAATCATTCTTAACCAACCTGATAGCCTTCTATGATGGAATGACTGGCTGGGTAGATGAGGGGAGAGTGGTGGAGGTCATCTATCTCGACTTCAGCAAGACTTTTGGCACTCTCTCTCACAGCAGCCTATTGGGCAAGCTACGGTGGTGGGATAGATGAGTGAACAGTGAGGTGGATTGAGAACTGGCTGGATGGCAGAGCTCAGAGAGTTGTGGCACAGAGTGTGGCTGGAGGCCTGTAGTTAGCAGTGTCCCCCAGGGGTCAGCTCTCTGCCCAGTCCTGTTCAATTTATTCATCAATGACCTGGATGAAGGCACAGAGTGCTCCCTCAGCAAGTTTGCTGGTGATACCAAACTGGGAGAAGTAGCCGATACCCCAGAGGGCTGCGCTGCTATCCAGAGGGACCTGGACAGACTGGACAACTGCGCGGTGAAAAACCTCATGCAATTCAACAAGGCCAAGTGCAAGGTCCTGCACCTGG